AAGTTGTAATACCCAAATTAATCCTGTCGCTTCTACTATTCAGTCTAGTCGGTTGATCGTTAATGTTTTCGACAGGATTCCTACCTCTAATTAATCTCTGATCAGTTTGGTTGGTTTTAGAAAAATCTTCCATTTATTGAGGTAATTACGTCTCATGATTAGCTTCTTTCTGAATTCATCTCAATAACTGCTATTGTCAAAATGGTTTGTTAGATAATTTGCCTCGATCGTGGCTTTCTGACACCTGCATACGAAAGCATTATCGAAAGTATTGGTTCCAACCCCTTAATGTCTTTTACTGTTTCACTCCAGAGGTGTACAAATTCTCAATACTGGTAGAGAACGAGGAATACGCTAAGGTCTCTTGTCTGATCCGCAACATGTCGTTAAACTTACAAAAGGTTCGTGCTCTCTCCATAAAAATGCGAGCTATCCTATGCTGCAAAGCTACCGAGGACGCCTCCACATCTCGGTTGGAAGGTAGATCTAAGGCGAATGCTGCCTCGACGACAAAGTTGTCAAAGTCAGAGGAGACGAAATCGAATCATCAGTCGATGAAACACTGGCTGTTGGATAAATATGAAGAAATCATTAATGAAGAAGAGGTAGTAGACTCAAAAATAAGGCAATTTCCCTCTTTAAAAAAGCCTCTGAAGGCGAAGAAACATTTGTCAAAAAACGCGGCCATAGAAGAGAAGAAAGAAGCGGATGTGGAATTAAAAAAGCCTCCTAGGGTGAGAGGGAAACGACGTCCATCAAAGGGGGCGGCAGATATGGGTGCGAATGTCAGCGAAGTCGACGGGGAACAGACAGCGCACAAGATTCTGAAAGGTCAAAAACGACGTCTGTTGGCGACAGAAGCGGAGACACATGGAACTAGCGCCACCTAAAATATTTGTGCCCTCCGCGAAGAAGGCTAGCAGATGAGATTTCCATCCATTTGTATGTCTGTACATACGCATCCTTGGACTTGAAAGCGTGCCTCGACCAGCTTTTCTTTTTTTCCAAACAAGGATTGATTACCTTCTAGGCGAGTGAAATTCATTTATATTTGTGATCTGTTGATGGAGTTTTGTGCGTCATAACTGCTGGTTTTCCGATAAGTTGGAGTGGAAGGTCAGCACACATTAACTGTCGGATATGGCCTTGACTTGACGTAGAACGAAATGCGTTCCAGGCGAGAGTTGAGCTGTCAACCATTTTTGGAATTGGCGCTTTGGCCAGTGTTTTGTAGTGCCATGGCAACACCAGCTTATTGGAGGCGCGAATTGGTCCAACGTTTGGCTCCTTAAATCTATTCATAAATGATGCGCGTCGCTAGGATTGATTGCCACACCCCTTACCTTTTTGTCAAATTGCAGTTACCGAACTGTCGAAGTACGAACATTGATTCCATGGGCAATAGCTATCTAAGTTGTTACTAGTAGAGACGTTCTTTTAGAGGTTGTGCGTTCTCCAGACGCGTTGAATGCAGGGGTCCGCATCGCCTCAACATAGGTACAACTTCTCCGCAAATTTTTCCTATTATCTCCCTTTAGAGACGAAATTGCGCATATTAGTCCTGGAATTTAGCTTCGTGTTTCAGTTGATGGACAATCTCGGGTGAGAAGTGGGGTATTGCCAGCTGTACATATTACCAATGGAAGCGAATTTTCCTAAATAGGAGAACCTCGATACAATTGGTTGATACAAATTACGGAAGTGATTGAGGGAGCCGCGTCATTCTGATAACATAAGTAGTCTCTCTAGTCCTCGGTTGACCAAACAAACCCCAAGCCGTCGAAACTATGATTGTTATTTTTCCACAAAATGTCAAGCCAATGGTGGTTCAATTTAGAAAATACAAGTTTTAAAATGCAACTGCCGCAAGTGCTGGTAGGGAGAAGTGCAAATGAAGGCTAGAGCTAGGGTGAATCACAGGGCTGGAAATATTAAAAAACTAACATGAGAAGCAGAACGCAAAAAATAGGGTCGTCACATACTCATCAGGAGAGAGTAGGTGAGGTAAGTTATGAACGCTTCGCAGGTAGTGGTTGCAATGCGTCCTCATCAATGGATTTATGCAGCCGTTCGACTGTAAGGGGAATCTAGTTTCCCTAAAAAGCATATGCCGGTTGATACGCGCTACTCAATGTGTTCGTGTGTAGGAAGTGTTTATTACATTGACCAGGGATGATTGTGCTTCATCAGGCCAAACAATGTCGTGAAGAGATTTCATCATGGAAGACTGAAGGCCGTCTCCAACGGCGACAGCACCACAAGCAAGCATACGATGGTGAAATGGGCGTCCACCAAGGCTTTAGACACTTTAAGCACAAAGCCTTCAAGCAGTGGTCGAAGGTACTTAAATAGGTAGAAATCTAGAAGTTGCTCGAGATAAGAATAGTTCAAAACCAAGATACTACTACTACTTTGCAAGCGGGTAGATTTACATTGAGGCAAATCAGAAAATGGCAATACTTGGAAGAGACACGAGAACGAAGTAAAACCAAGTGATTGCATTGTAAAAAGGGTCGAGTGCATTTGCAACAGCATTGTGATTTCTCAATGAAGCTCACGATGTCAACCATAGGAATGCCTTGCCAATTTTTTAATGGAATTTTAAAGAAACATTTTGTTTCATACTGATTTTGTTAACCCTTTATTTCCAAGCACCCACTGGCCATGCATGTGAGTGTGCAAACCTGATAAGAAAATTACGCAATGAGCTGCGACAATCAATCGCGGAAGAAGAATGGTAATGTATGAGAAAGGCAAAAACAATTAATTCGATGATCTTGCCTGTAAAATTTGCAGACGAGAGACCAGTAGCGAATTCTGAAAGATTTGGTATTCGTTGAAAAAAGGCTGATCCCTATTGAGGCACCTTTGCAAGGTTTTGGC